CTTTGGTTCAAATGTTTTACGTGTAATAGATGTACGGAAAATTATTTACCAAAAAAACATGGTCACTTTCGAAATTAGTCGAATAAATTATTTTTAAAACTTTATTGAATAATATAGGTATTGTGAGGAGAATATGACAAATAACGCCTAAAAACAAGAACAGTTAAAATGCTTCATATTATAGATGACAAATATGCTGCATATAAAGTTGGCGTGTATAATATGATACAATGATATTAATTGTTATATTTACTTACATATAATCTGTGGTATATTCTAGATCCTGTGTGCACGAATACATATATCTATGTATGTAAATGTATTTATATTTAAAATTAAGATTTTGAGTACTTATCCAATTTGGAAGACTGCCTTGCAATAAAGGCACGATCACGTGGTGTTATCTTTTCTTATGTAAACTCTGTAATTCTGGATTGGTTTTTATCTGAAGAAAACAGTCTGATTTTAGCTTGAATGGATGAACTATATCTGCTGTAAAAAAAAAAAGATACTCATCCAATTTGAATCGTCCATGAAGGCTTGAGAGCTTTCAAGTATTTAAAGTGAGATTATACCAAAATTCACTATTATATCTAAGTTACACATATCAACTTATCCTTTTTATATTTACAGACTTTAATTTGAACAGAAAAAAATCGTCAGGACGTCTGATACGTAGACATATCCACTTTTGTCTTCTGATACTTGCACAACTTAAGCAAATTAATATCATTTACACTGGACAAAAGATCTCTGATTCAAATCTCTTCACCTCACATACCTAAGCTTTGGAACTCTAATTTTTCTTTAGAATACATATAGAAGCTAACTGTTAAAGTGATATCAAAACATTTTAACATTTAGCTTATATCTGTCATCTGAGATCCTTTAACAAAAAAAAAAAAAGGATTATATAAAATTCTAAATAATTACGTAGAACCTACATGTGGATAGTTTCACTAACCGGCTTTTAACAAACAATTTGATTAAAGTATCTACTTGTGGTTAGTTTAATTAATTTGAAAAGAAACATATAATTGGAGGTTGCAATAAAATTTGAATACGATTCTCAGCTCAAAATCTAAAACTTGATGACCATAAAAACAAAATATGTCGTGCCTCTTGGATAAATGAATTCGGACTTCTATGGTCAACACTTTTTTTTTTTTTTTTTTTGGAGCAAAGAGCAACTTCTATGGTCAAATAAGAATTGGAAGACATAAGGGGGAAGTGGAGAAATTAAAAATGGAAAAAAGGGGAAATATATTTATTATTGCAACTTGTTTGAATAAATTAGAAACCCATAAAAGGAAATAAACATATTGATTATTATAGCACAAAGTTTTCAATAGAAATCAGAAAACGGAAACAGAGTTATTAAGCACGGAGATGGAAAGTCAGCGGGTCAACTATTAAAACTCAGTGCTTAATTAAGTGCTAAGTGATAATTATTAATTAACTCTTTACTTAATTATTCCTGCCGGAGTCTTTTATCTGATATTTTATCTGGACGGCATCTTTTTCTGCTTATAGAGTCATAGACTTCTAGTACTAGTATTACTTCATCTGGTTCGATTTTTATTTTTTAAACCCTACAATTATCAATAGACTATTAATTTTTATTTATAGATATTATAATTGTTCTGTACTGTATTTTTTAATAATTGGTGTAGGTTATCTATAACCTCTTTTATTTTTGATATAAAGAGTATTAAATCAAGACGAGAGTGTGTTTTTGCACCAAACCAAGTAACAAAAGGAAACTAAAACTCTTCTGAAGCATGTAGATCTTAAATTAAGGTTTTTATTGGCGGTTTTACTTTAAAGCCTTAGTGCTCATTTTATCAACGTAACAGAATATTAACCACAATAACAACTAATTTTTAGTATTTCTGTATATGAACTTTTTTTTAACTAACTACTCTCACCACTTAGGAAAAAACACATGTCTACTAGTTTTACAAAAATCTGAAATAACAAAACGAACTAAGAAGTAAGAACTAACAATACCACAAAGGACTTATTTGTTGTCAGTGTTTTTATGAAATTTGATGTTTTATATTTAGAATTTAATTATACTTAATATATTTATAGATATACTTATTATCATAACTAGGTTATGAACCCTGCGATATCGCGGGAAACTCATTTTCAACAAATATATTTTATTACATTTATGTATTAAATTATTATTATAATATATTCAAATAATTGAATTATTATATAAAATTCACTATGTCTTAAAGTTATATAGTAAATATTTTCTAAAGATATTAAAAAAAATTTATGAATAAAATTTTTTTAAAAAATTATGATTAAAAAACACTTTTGAAACATTTTTGTGAATATAAAATTATTTATAAGTGACAAAATAACTAACAAAGAGTTATAATATAGAGAGGAAAAATTCTAGCGGGTCAAAAACAAAAAGATATAAAAACACAACCAGAAAAATAACTGTCAACATAAAAAGTAACCGTCAATATTTTAACGAAAAGTTGCGATAAAAAGACATAACCGAGAAAAAATAACCGTCGATATTTTAACGGAAAGTTGCGATAAAAATACAACCGATAAAAAATAACCGTCAATATTTTAACGAAAAGTTGCGATAAAAAGACAAAAAAAAAAGTAAATGTCAACATTTTTACGAAAAGTTATGATAAAAAGACACATCAGAAAAAATAACTGTCAACAAAAAAATGTAACCGTAATTATTTTAACGAAGAGTTACGATAAAAAGACACAACCAAGAAAAAATAACAGTCAATATTTAAACAAAAAATTGCGATAAAAAGAAAAATATGGAAAAAAATAACCGTCAATATTTTAACGAAGAATTGCGATAAAAAGACACAACCAAGAAAAATAACCGTCAATATTTTAACGGAAAGTTGCGATAGAAAGACACTACCGAGAAAAATAAACCGTCGATATTTTAACGGAAAGATACGATAAAAAGACAAAAACAAAAAAAAAACCTTCAATATTTTATCTGAAAGTTACGATAAAAAGACACAACCGAAAAAATAACCATCAATGAAAAATTGTAACCATAAATATTTTAACAAAGAGCTAGGACAAAAAGATACAACCGAGAAAAAATAACCGTTAATATTTTAACGAAAAGTTGTGATAAAAAGACACAAACGAGAAAAGTAATGTTAATATTTTAACGGAAAGTTGCGATAAAAAGACACAACCAAAAAAATATTTGTCAACGAAAAAAAGAACCGTCAATATTTTAACGAAGAGTTGCGATAAAAAGACACAACCGAGAAAAAATGACCGTCAAACTTTTAACGGAAAGTTGTGATAGAAAGACACAAAAAAAAAAATGACCGTCAATATTTTAACGGAAAGTTACGATAAAAGACACAACCGAAAAAATAATTGTCAACGAAAAAAGTAACCGTCAATATTTTAACGAAGAGTTGCGATAAAAAGATACAACCGAGAAAAAATAACTGTCAATATTTTAGCAAAAAATTGCGATAAAAATACAGAACCGAGAAAAAAATAACCGTCAATATTTTAACAGACAAAAAAAAAACACAACCGAGAAAAAAATATCGTCAATATTTTAACAAAAAGTTATGATAAAAAACAGAAATGAAAAAAGTAACCATCAATATTTTAACTGAAAGTTGCGAGAAAAAAACACAACCAAAAAAATAACCGTCAACGAAAAAAGTAACCGTTAATATTTTAACGAAAAGTTGCGAGAAAAAGACACAACCAAAAAATAACCGTCAACTAAAAAATTAACCGTCAATATATATTTTAACGAAGAGTTGCGATAAAAAGACACAACCGAGAAAAAATAACCGTCAATATTTTAACGGAAAGTTACGATAAAAAGACACAACCGAGAAAAAATAACCGTCAATATTTTAACGGAAAGTTGCGATAAAAAGACACAAACGAATAAAGTAACAACCAATATTTTAACAGAAAGTTGCAATAAAAAGACACAACAAAAAAATAACCGTCAATATTTTAACGAAAAGTTGCGATAAAAAACACACCCGAAAAAATAACCATTAATATTTTAACGGAAAGTTACAATAAAGAGACACAACCGTTCAGAAGTGCAAAATACATTTATTGAGGTTGTTATTTTGGTTAATAAAACCAATTTGATATGTAGTCTAATGGTTGATGTAAAAAAACTTCGTAGTATTACTAACTATACAAAAAATGCAATGAAATTATATAATGGAAAGACGTAACTTTAAATGAATAAATGCAACTACAAAGATATAACTGTAAACTGAAAAGATACGACTGTAATTGAACAAATATAACCGTAAATAATTCAACGAAAATTCAATAAAAAGACATAACCGTAAAAAAACAACCGATTTAAACGAAAAGTTGCGATAAAAAGACGCAACCGTTCAGATGTGCAAATGGTATTTATTAGATTGCTATTATATATAGATTCTAATTTTTTTAATTTAAATTCTTGAAATAAATCATTATTATTTATTTTTAGTTAGATATAAGAAATATCTCATATATTCATATCAGAACTAAAAAATGAATTATACATTAAACTGTCTACAACATCAATCTTATGAAATATATCTAGCTAGGATATAATTTTGTGTCAAAAAAAAAAAATGGTAATAAATAATGATTTGGTTCGACCTAGATTTCTTCTCTAGTTATTGGTATTAGTATTTTGCTATATTTAACCCACACTAAAATCTGGAAATGTGCCTGTTTAAGTTATAAACAACAACAATAAATAACGGTTTTGGTTCTTAGAATAATATGTTGCTATGAATATAAGTAACTTTTGAGATTTGTCTTGGTTTAGTCTAAACCTTAATGCACATTAAATTATAGTTTTTGTTTTTATGTATAGTTTAAAAAGGAAGTAAACTCAAACTCAAACTATGTTTTTTTTATAAATGTGAAATATGCCACTAATGAATAAATTCATAATGGCTTAATGTTTGAAAATTTAATATGGATATGGAAGGCTATAGTGAAATTTGAATGCAAAGACTCACTTTCCCTAAGAGAATAAAATTGTTCAGCCAAGTGGACTACTCGTATTCGATAGTTTTTTTTATACCTTCACGAATTTTAAAACTTTAAAGAGCGTATAATTAAACAGAATTGAGTAGTAGAAAATCATAAATAATTAAAATCAATAAACATACAGTTCCTATATTACGGCTGTCTATTCCCTTCTTCGCACATGTTCCAAATAATTTAAAAAATAAAAAGAAAAATTGAAAACTATCTTCTTTTTTTTCTTCTATAAAACCCACAACTTCTCTTTTTCTTGTGCATTCGAAACTCATCCTTTCTCTATCTACACATAACTCCAAAAAAAAAAAAAAAATCTCTCTACCCTCTTCGCAAAACAACATAGAAAAAAGTAGAAAGTCTCAATCTTTTTGCTGAAAAGTCTCGTTGTGCGTCTTTTCTGTGTGTATCAATGGATGAAAAAGGAAGAACCTTGAAGAACAACAACATGGAAGACGAGATGGACCTAAAGAGAGGTCCGTGGACTGCTGAAGAAGATTTTAAGCTCATGAATTACATTGCTACTAATGGAGAAGGTCGATGGAACTCTCTTTCTCGTTGCGCCGGTATGATATATATTTTCATATACAGATATAGTTTTCTATATGTATGTTCCACTTCCATGAGCATCTTTCAAGCATAAAGAGCCAAAGGACAAGTAGCATAACATAATTGATTTATTGCTTTTTGTTCAATCCTTTTCATGTTTCAATCACCATGTGTGATTGTGTTTTTTTCTTTTAAATTGCCCAACCTTTTTACTATTTTTAAAGAGTTTTTTGAAAAAAAATTATTCGAAAATGGTTTCTTTCCCTATATGCATAGATGAAAAGACCCTTCATAGGTATGAATCAAAAAGTGCATACCTCTCATGTTTTCTCTTTCTCGTCTTCTTCTTATTTCTAAAAATAATTTCATTCGAATGAATAAAGTATTGATGATTTGAGTGAGATCTTTTGGTAATGGATTCAATTATTAACCATCTCAAATTTGAATAAAATATCCAAATTTGGTTATTAAATGGGTGAAAAAAAAATGCGAATTAATGATCATCATCTATAAGGGAAGAGCACTAACTCAATGGGAGAAAGCTTGCTGAAGAAAAAGACCCTTTAGGACAATTTGCATCATAAAACGGTTCATTTTATTTCGTTGGGGAATTTGATATAACTTTACCGAAATTAAAACAATTATTATAATGAGTTTCTTCCGTATAAAATCATCATACTATACGTAGACATGACATGCAGGTAAATTAATCATCATTTATATTTTTACCAATGAAACAGGACTCCAACGTACCGGTAAAAGCTGTAGACTACGGTGGTTAAACTATCTCCGCCCTGACGTCCGCCGAGGAAACATTACACTCGAAGAACAACTCTTGATCCTCGAACTTCATTCCCGTTGGGGCAATAGGTATGTTTATAAAAAATAAAATAATATAACATATTTTTCTAAATAAACTATACAATATATAGTTGATTAATTTTATTTAAATGGATCAAATCTATATTTTACATTAAAAAAAACTATAATAGGAAATTTTTGTGAAACGGAAATAAAATAATAACAAACTATTTTAAAGCGGGGAAAATATCAAATTTTGTCGATGTTGATGGATAAAAAAGAGACTACAACATGACATGATCCTGAAATATACTAATGAATAATAATGTCATAGACGACAAGAAAATAAGAATTTGATTATTATCACTACGATTTGTTTAGAACCGCTAATTTATATCTTTTATTTTGACGAATAGATGGTCAAAAATCGCACAATATTTACCGGGAAGAACGGACAACGAGATCAAGAACTACTGGAGGACGCGAGTGCAAAAGCATGCGAAACAGTTGAAATGTGACGTGAACAGCCAACAATTCAAAGACACAATGAAGTACTTGTGGATGCCTCGGCTAGTCGAGAGGATCCAGTCAGCCTCGGCCTCAGCCGCAGCAGCAGCCACCACTACAACCACCAACACCACGGGTTCAGCCGGCACGTCATCTTGCATCACAACCTCTAACAATCAATTCATGAATTACGACTACAACAACAACATGGGACAACAGTATGGTGTGATGAGCAACAATGATTATATCACGCCGGAAAATTCCAGCGTTGCAGTGTCTCCGGCGTCAGACTTGACGGAGTACTACAGCGCTCCAAACCCGAACCCGGAATACTATTCGGGTCAAATGGGGAATAGTTATTATCCGGATCAGAATTTGGTGGGTTCACAATTATTACCGGAGAATTATTTCGATTACAATGGATTATTAGACGAAGATCTAACGACTATGGAAGAGCAGAGTAACCTCAACTGGTTTGAAAACATTAATGGTGCTGCTTCTTCGTCAGACAGTTTATGGAACATTGGAGAAACTGATGAAGACTTCTGGTTCTTACAGCAGCAACAACATCTCAACAATAATGGTAGCTTCTGAATTTTGAAAGCAAAGAAAAAAGACTAGAAATCGTTTTAAGTTTATTATTATACACTAAGTATACGTGTGAAAGGAATTTGTGTTAAGGGAATAATTAAAGACAAAGAATGTGTTCATGATATTATATTAGGATATATGATCAGCTTTTTTATTCCAAGCTTGATCATGTATCATGGCGTTTTAACATAGCGCTAAACTTGATTGGTTTTTTTTTTTTTTTTGGGGATTGCAAATGATATCTTGTGGATATACATAATTTATGATTTAATGTTAAGAAAGTTATTCATTCGTCGGTGAGAGTATGTATACAATAAACATAAACAATGGAACTTGTTTTCACACTATAGATTGAGTGATTTCCTCAATGGAAGCATAATACAAAACAATTATTCATTTATTTATTAATATTCTAACGACGAAGCACATAATTGGTTCCACCATGTTAAATATTTAACCCAAGATATGACACAAAGACATCATAAAATATTTTTAAAAGATATATAATAATGACTTTGGTACTATAAAATGGATAATCCAAGTGATACTATACTTTTTTGGAACTATGTCTATAGAGCATGTATATGGAAAATAAAATGAACTAGTGTGTGACTGTGCGGTGTGAGTGTGAAAGCCTTTCCTTGGGTTCAAAAGAAGACATTTAAAAATTTCCAAAGCCACGTGGCAAAACCTGGTTGGTTATGATCTGGGCTTTGAGTTTAAGGTGGCCATTAAGGGGTTTATTCATTGAAAAGTTAATTGTTTGTTAAAATACATGCTAAGTGATGATAACCCACCACTAAATATGTCCAAAAACCCTTAGTTAATTATTGGAAAACGCATTATTGTACGGACCGTTACACCAATATGTAGACAAAAACCGTGTCCTTACTCGGCAACACGTCGGCAACACCATATCTTCTATCATATGTATTCCCTCTCCTCATCTGTTCTCACTCAGTTCTATTAAAAAATCAGTTTAGTTATAAAACAAGGATCCCCAGTGTGAGTGGCATGGCATGGTTTAGGTTTTGGAGCCTAAATCAATTCAGAGGTTTATAAAAAAAGAGAAGAAAACTTTTCTGATATATGTTTTATATTGGATATCATCTTTTAAGCATTATTTTTGTTTTTTTTTTGCAGTCCACACATAATTACAACGCCGTCAAGAAAACTGTAGTTGAAGTCGTTTTCTCTCTGTATACCAACTTGATCCTTTAAGCAATAACACTGCTTTCCTCGTTTTTTCTCATCGAGTAGAATATCTTCTAAACTTAAATATATAACATAAGATATATATATATATGCTGCACACCTTGTGGAATTGGCACGTGGATAAGACAAAAATCACGTGCTTAAATAGTGAATGTGAGGGAAGACTTAAAGAGAAGGCGGCGTGGCTGAGAGTCTGAGACAATGAAAAAATCATAGGCGGTGTGGTGTGGCCAGGAAATAAGCCGACGCCTAAAAGCCATCCTAAGACCGAGAGTGGTCCCAAAAATCTGAACATCTCTTTCCTCAGCAATATCTTTAGGAACTTTTTATTCAAAATTCGTCCAATTTTGAAATATTGATTCTTTTTTGTCAAAATTATTGAAATATTGATCCTACCAAGATTTATGCTGATCGTTATCTCATCTAATAGTAAGTAGTTTCATGGAGAACCACTTATAGATTTTACTAAATGCGAACTAATCTATCATTTTACGTTTGGAAACGAATCTTTACGTCAGGTTTTTCATTGCAAGTGAGAAGAGTATTAACCTAATTGCCCAAATATCCAAAATATAGTAGCTGAATTTTTTTCTCTGGTCGCTGTTGCGAACTTTATGGCGTAATTATATACTAGAAATACATAACGTTAAACTTCACAATATTTATGTAAAAATGCAACACACAAAACAGTAAAAATAAAAACAATTGACGGTGTGAGATGGATTCTTCTTGTGTTGCATTTTTACATGTGGAAATGTAGTCTCTATAGTTGTAAAAAAAACTCTTCAAAAATCAAACTTGTGTTAACGTTTTATTCAGAAGAGACAGAACAAAAAGAAAAACAGAAAACAGATTCAGATACATGGGACTTAGCGTGCGCCACGTGGCGTCTGGCGATTCGATGGGGTGGATAAAATTCCATTGTTGGGGAAGAGGAGCACAAAGAAGAAGGACACCGACTCGATGGTCATTTGAATGGTCAAGGTCAACGCGTCCAGAGACTTACACGTCGGCGTCAACGTGGCTTTCCTTTTGGGTCCAACCTTTTTCGTACATACATTCATACATTAAACAAAACCATATCTAATCCGAAACCTGCGAAATACATTGAATTTGGAGAATTCACTTTTTTTTTTTCTGTGTGTCATTTCCTACTTTTTTCTTCATAGATAAAAGATCAAAATATGCTTATAATAGAGTAACTTTTTTAGAATGACAATAATATACGAGTGATACAAATTTAACATCTGTCGCAGAATCAGAAAATATAGTGTGGAATTAAAGTTTTAAGTTTGTACTCTACGTGGATTAATGATTTAAACGTTATGCATGCATATATATTGTACCAATATTAATACTGAAGCAGTTTTTTTTTGGTGGGGATCAATTGGTCTGGTCGTTATGGGGAAAAAACTATAGTCTGTTGATACTAGCGGAGATTTTTACCGCGATCATTAATTAGGAATTTAGGATACTATTTTACTTTTGCCACAATGAGATATATACTACTTTAATTAATATAAAGAAATCAAATGGAGGATAAATTTTTTCCGTAGAAATTATTTACTTATCAGATTTTATTTAAGATTGAAAGACAATGTATGATTTTTTTTCGTCATTCTTTATATAACATTTATTTGTTACAGACTTGCGCGCGGTTAATATCATCGAGATTCATACCGCTATATTATTGTATATATTTTCATTCATTTTTGAAAACATTGTTATAAAACATCCAACCATATATATTATATTTTAATATAGTATTAGAAGTATGCTAAAGCATATATAACAAGTACATATTTCGAATAATCATAAATACATATTTTTATCAAGATTATAATATAACAATGGGACTAATACAAACTATTATACTAGAAACTTAGTCTTAATCAATTGCTTTAATATTGTTTGTTTGTTCATTTTGTTTTTATGGACATAAGCATTTTTAGCCACTAAAGTCTCTAAAGCACTAGCCAGAAAACCATGCTAATCACGTGATAAAGCTGAAATTCAATTGAATCAATGCTTTAATAGATAACCCGTATAACTGGATCGAGACGCAAACCCAATATTAATCACATTAACGAATACCCAAATCGTGTAATTGATACGACACATGAATATTCGGTTTTATTGAAATTTTATATTATTACCAATCTAGGAAAATTTTGATTTTTCGGTTTCCGTGGTACCTTTGGACAAGAGGTTTATGTTTTGTCTATCCCGTCGTAAGTTGATTGATACCTGCCTTGAAATTTGCCATACCTTCTTAGCAACCACTTGTTTGTTTGTTTGTTTGTCTGTCTTTTGTGGTCATCTTTAGTTTCATAATAATTCACACATTTTCGTTAAAAAAATCAATTAAATATTTTCATACTTCTGCATTATAATTACTTATTTAAACATGTAAGGATTGTAGGATTTTTGAGCTTTAATTATGATGGTTAGCGTAAGAAAGTATTGAGATACTCTTCCATGCATGGTATTAGGACATATTTGTTTGTATGCGTTTGTCTTTATGTTTATATCTGTGTATAGTTCAATATTGGAATTTTTTTTTTGTCTCTCATGTAAAAGTAAACACAAACGCAAAATCTGTGTAGTAGGCGATCGATTCTTAGGTTGATGTGTATAAGATTGATGACCAATATTAAGTTAAGAGAGTGATATTACACATCTGAATGAAATAGTAAAACTAGTGTGTAATTCCATCGCTTACGTTTTCTACCGTATCATGTTTTTTTTTTTGGACAAACTCGTATAATATTTTCCCGATATAAAATAAAATAAAATAAAATGTGTAGGGCTATTTGATTATGAAAAATTCTTTTGATCTTCATACGTATAAAGTATATTTAAACAGATTCAATGTGTTTTACATATATAATGGATAAGATAATTAAACTTTCATGTAAATCAGATCATTGTGTGTGTTTAACTTTCCATGTTTCCAGATTGCATGAGTACTTGAGTAGTAGTACTAGTTGCGAGCGCTTGTGAATTTATCCAATCCACTAAGGTATAAAAAGAGACCCTTCCCACCATTAAGATTAACTAATTTTTTTTTTCTTATAAATATAAAACAACAATATGGGATTGTGGTTTGTGGATAAGACCGTATATATAAGCTAATATCAACAAGACAAACTGAAGCACGTTAGATAAATGAAATGCTCCTGTCCCTTTCTAGGTTATTCAAAAGCAAACGTTTAGTATTAAACCCCACATGCTTCAATCCTCGTGGTTAGGCATCTAATATGAACACTTAAGATATTTAGTTCTTATGAGTTTGCAGATTTGATAACTTCTCCGTTTTCTTTCTTCACCAAGTAATATAGATAAGTCCAAGCCATTTATAAACAAGTAATATAGCTAATTTGGGGTTAAGAAAGTGATTTGACCCTATGTTTCTAAATTCAAGTTCCAACAGTAGAAATAAAATTAATTTACATGTTGTGCTTAGCCTGATAAAATTATGGACCAAGAACTACAAAAACTTTGGTAAATTTTTTTCAAAGATTATTAAAATGTTGATGTAAAAAAATGGATTAAATATGTTAGTCACTTAATAAATTATTTCAAGATGTTGTTTTACAAGAAAAAAGTATATAAACCAAAGGTAGATATCAATTAAAATTTTGCTCACACATTTTTTAAAAAAATGGTCTAAATCATTTTAAGGCTGGAGTATGGGCAATTGAGAAATTAGTACATGGAAAAAGCATCAGAAACCCATACGGTTAATATATTACGCTCCTACTGAAAGCATAAACTGGGCCTCATCTTTGTGGTAATGGGCTAGTGTAATTCGAAACGTGAATCTTTGTATGCGCTTGAATATCACGATCAATCAGAGCGCGTGGGTATGTTATGTGACGAAGCAAGATTCCTTCCTTGGCCGCCAGACAAATTGCAAACCGAAATTGATCACGGCGACGCGTTTGCACAAATTAAATTTCAGACAGAAAAAAAAATGTGCGTGTACATCTAGAAACATTGACTAATCAAAATATGCCACGTATGCAAGGTTTTGGCTTCCCAGGGGTAATTTCGTAAAATAGAATCGTGTCAACTGTCAAGGTAATCGACGATTACTAATCGTCGTCAAGTATTTTCTTTTTTTTCCACA